TTATGCTGTTGCTGTGTTGTAAAAAAATGTCCAGTAAAAATAATATCCCAGAGTATAAAACTAATTAAATCTAAAAAAAAGTGGTATTCCACTATCTTTTAATAGAAAAGCCTGTGTTTTTCCTTAAATTCAATTTCCTTATTTCACAAATTCCTTTACTAAATTTCACACTCCATCACATATTCTAAAATGTATATTGTTCAGTAAGATTGCAAGAATATCTAAACTTCCCATGATGAAACATAATCTGTTTATTTAGGAAAAAAAAAATCAGTCCCTGTTGTCTCTAGTTTTGCTATTTGTCCAGTGAAAAAGAAAAAAACAGTTTCACAGAAAAGATACAACATCTGAAAATACCAAAGTAAATCACTGATCCTGTGCTCTCTGTTTGCTTTATAAGGCTTTCCAAAGTCTGCCTCTTTAACTTTTCACTCACTCAGAACCCAAGTAAGGTCAGATTGACAGTCACTTTAAGTTGCACAGGTGAGGCATACTAAGATCTAAATAAGTGTGCTGCTTTTCCACAGGTAGCTTCAGAGCTTAAAATCAGAACTAGTTAGATAACTCTTTATCATTCATCTGTTTATGCATTATTTTTTGTCATATTATTGCACACAAGATTTTGCCACAAAACAGATGGGACAAAATTGCCAAACTGCATTTTGATCTCATGGGCCAAAACAAAACCTACAATAAGGAAAAATCCATCATACAAGTAGTGGAACCTTCACAATAGCATATAAATTTTTATGAGTGCTCCAGAAAACATGTGCTCTAAATAGCCTCTTCTAAAACAAAATCCTGTATCTAGTTTCTCATATAACTTACGACATGTTTTGGTCATTCCTGTAGATTGTTTTGATACATGGCCAATGTTTTCTATTGCATGCAAATGACATGTTCAAAAGGATATTTAAGTCTTTCTATTTTTATTTTCACTGAGGTTTTCTTTTGGTTTGTTTTTTTGCCGTTTTTCTCAGCCAATATAATACAATTGATATCTGTTGATTTAAATAACTGTCCTGAATTTTCTTTCTCTGCATAAATCTTTACTTTCCATTTTATTTACTAAATAAAAAGGAAATATGTATACGCCAAACCAGTTCTTTCCAGTGCTACACTGCAGTTGTATGCAGGAGGCATACTAATTTTCCCAGACTATAAAAAGTTATTGTAGGTATTTTTCTCCATAAGACCTCTTTGTTCACAAAACCTATCCTGTTCTTATGAGCCTCAATTTTCAGAGAATGGACACTGAGTACACAGTGATATCCAAAAGCAATTTTGTGGAAACTCTGTACTTTTTACTGTCATTTTTAACTTGCCTTCCTCTGGAAATTTGGTTTACACAATTACATATTTCTTGTCCTCAGCCCCAACAAATCTTCAGCCTGTTGGACTATTTCATCCTGCTTTAGCCAAGTGCCAAGCTGCTCTGAGTTAATATGTTCCAACCAATTTAGAGAAAAATGCTGGCAAGGTACAGAAGAGAGCACTGGTTGGGGCCTGTCACTCAGGCAAGTGAAGGAATAACTTAAATCTCACTATTTACATGATGCGGCGGCCTGCAGACAGTATTATATGTAGGTTTGAACAAAATCTACTTTCTTTGCCCAGTCAGAAAAATTATGGATGTTAGAGGAACTTAAAGGTAAGTGAGAAGGGTAAGCTAGTAGGTGTGGGGAGGGTTGGAGGAGCTGAGGAAAGGGAATAGGTGACATAGCAGAAATCTGAGAGTCCCGTGAATAGTTTTAGAAAAACAGTAGAAGCGATCTGGAGGGATTTCTTCTGTGCATGGGATGCAGAGTGCAATGGTAGGGAGAGAGGGAAGGTATGTGGCTATACGGACACAGGATAGACACAAAAATTAAAAAATCTGTGTTAAATCAGTGGAAGGACATCAGCAGAAGATTCACTGAGTGGAGCTGTGGGAGTCATATTTCTGCCAAACAGTTATCTAAAACAGATTAGGGAATCAAGAATAGATCTGACATGGCTGGGAAATAATATATGTGGAGAATTGCTTATAATCAGCCTATTCCCACGAGAAAAATGTTTCTTTAAATGAAGATGCAAATAATGTGACCAAGAGAGCTGATCTAACCATTTCCTGCATATTTTTAATTCTTCCAGGAAGGGGCCCAAAGCCCCTATACAGCAAAAATCATATGTTTTGTATACTAATGTTTAGAATGACCTTTCATTAAAGTACACTCTGAGTGAACAGTTAGTGTAGTCATTTTGAAAGACTTCAGTCATGTTTGAGATCTAACAAATGGATGTTCTTTGCAGAGATCAGTGTGGAGATTTACAGGCTAGAAAGAAAACTAGTACACTGCAGTATGATAAGCCTGAGAGATTCAATTTTAAACTAAGGACCACTGGCTAGCGCTTCTTCTAAGCATTAAACAAACTTACTAGTTTTTAATAGCAACGTAGATAGTATACAGAGAGTGCACCATCCCAGATAAATAATCCAGCAATAGCAAGACATCAGGCTAATTGAGGATCAACCACAAGGACAGAATATAATCAAACCAATTTCAAATGGTATGGTAACAGTGAGATACTTCCAGCAACAGCCTAGCCCAAGTCCATATCAGCACTATAAATAAACATTGTGACACAGACACAAATAAGATTTATACTAACTACTAATTTTTTACTCCTATTGTAGCTGTAAAACTATACCTCAATACAACAGTCAGGATGAGAAGCAGAATTTGTAATAATGAGAGAATTATGGGGCATCTGAGTACATTTCAGTTCTTCCACTGAGTGGCCAAATTCACACAGTCTCCCTAGTCATTGTTTCCCACATGACCTCAATGGTGTGGCACTGACTGCAAGGCGTAGCTTGGGCCGGGGACAGCAAATGGTCAGAAATTTAGGTTTGGGGCTGTCCTCCACTGCTTGCAGTCAGGGCCACAGATGTGGGAACAGCAATCTCTCAATGAAAGCTGAAACATGAGACAGTTCTGTAACTATAGGAGAGTAGCTGAGGATACATTAGGGGCTTAAACAATAAATAATACTTAAGAACATGATTGATTGGAAAGAGCACACTGTTAAAAACTTTTCTGAGAAGGTAACTTAAAACAGAAGATATTCTGGGAGCTGAGAAAGGAAACAAGTGAAAAAGGATGCCTGGAGCGAGGGTGCACATAAACTCCAGGGCCCTAGAGGCGAAGTGAAATCTGTGCCCGTCTCTGTATGAGTGTGTATTGGAATATAACAAGGTGAGACTATACCTTTCACCTCTCAAAACTGGGAGCCTACGGCAAACTGCCCTGCTCACCCCACGGTCTCCCTCAGGTGGCCTTGGTATAGAATCAGAATAAAAGACAGAATATATATGTGGATGCAAAAAATATTGTTCTCCACTTTACCTAAGGCTGAAGAAGGTATAGCAGACTGACGTAGAAAAATATTCTGTAACTGAGAATCTTTTAAACTGAAGAACAAAAAAGATGAAGGCAAGATTGCCTCTAAAGCCATTAAAAAAGGGAAAGTGCTTACAGGCGAGACATTTTTCAAAGCCTGCTGAGTAGAAAAGTCATGCTTATTTTTAACAATTTCAAATTAAAAACTAACTTGAAGAGAAATAGGGAACTAATATGCTTTGTACTGGAAATTTAAATGCGAAACTCACTTTGCATCTGTACAGTCACTGAAGGCTGACCAGGAGCATATGAGTGCTTCTTTGCAGTAGCATATCATAGTCTGGGAATTCTTGGCACCAATATTAATAGTTGTGCCCACATCTCCTGCTTCTGTGCCACTCCAGTCAGTTGCACAAAAACACTGAAAAGCCCCAGATCCTCCAGATGGGGCTTCCATTGCTGTGTAAAATTCCTAAATCACACATATTTATCTTTCCATCACCACTTCTAATTCAATGCTATAGGGCAACCTTTGGAAAAAGCAAGTGCAATTGCATTCCAACAGTTCCCACCTTTAGCTAAACAGGCAGCTGCTTCTATTCCCTTGCCAACTACAAAGTAGCTATAAAAAGTGCTAGCCCTCAGCTGAAAAAGGTGGGGTTTTTTTTCCAGAACAAAAAGAGAGAAAAATAATAAAAAAGAGAAAAGAGGAAAAAAGGAAAAAATAAAAGAAGAAGCTACCATTCCCATTTTCTCTTATAAATGTGCTCTATTTATACCTTAGCCACAGATGACAAATAAGCATGAAGGTCATGGAATTTGATTAATATAGCATGCAAAATAATTTAATCTATTCTCATTTTCTTGAAAGTTATATTGCAATCTCTTTTTTTTTTGGCAGTACAATGCTTAATGCATAGCACACTCACTTTTACCTCAAAACCTAAGGTAACATAGTTAACATAATAATCTCAGCCCAAAGAGACAGGCAGTAAAATATAAATTATCATTTAGACTCTCCTTGCAAACACCCACAGATAAATATCATAGAATTATTAATAAAAAAGGAGATAATATATGAAGAAAAAAAAAAAATTCTGTTCTAGCAGTTGAAAGTTGTTTATATATGTGCTTTTGCTACATTATTTCATAAGATAAAATCATGCTTTGTTTAGTCTTAGGGCTCAACAGGAGTAATATAAAATGAGGTTCAAAACTTTAAAATGTTGTATTGTTCTTACTAGTGTTTTTCTTATTGTCCAATAAAAAAAAAAAAAGGGTAGTTTAAAGGGATTAATGAATTATAATAAATTGGAATATTTGAGATAAGATATAGCTATTTATCAGAACCTGATATTTATAATTACTCAGAAGTAAATAGATGAAAATAATATTCCCCTTAGTTATTCTGTAGCAGAATTCCTGATTTCCAGGATGTAAAATTACTAGGATATGTAGACTGATGAAGATGGTTAGATAACACAAAATTAAAGGGATGCCACTGAGAGAAAATATGTAACTTACATAACAGAAAAAGTGCTCTAGGAAGGAAAACCTCTCGTATCTCTATAGTCTCTGCAAAGCCTGGAATGCAACAGTCTCTGCAAACGTACATACCCATTTGACACCCCACATTCCAGAACTCTTGAGGATTATAATTTGAAGAGTTCGTTCTTGTTCCTTTGGGGTAGATTCTGGTAATGAATCTTGAAGTATGTGAAACAAACTGTTTAGCTGAAAAACAGAATGACAAAACCTTGGTAAGTAAAACTTTATTAATAAAGAGATCCTATTTGAATAAATAAGAATAAAAATATAATAATCTGATCCAGCAATTTTCTTTTTTTACACAATCTGTATATCATATCAGTGTATTTATATTTTAGGACATTTCTATGCATGTTAAAATTAGTATATGGGCCACTGAGATATAGGTGAAATCCTATTTTAAAACCTTAAAATGTGATAGTATTTTGTGTATATTTGAATGTGATAGTATTTCTGTCTATAGTGCAGACTTTTGTTAAAGGTTCAATAATCAAGAATCATTCCTTCACAGAAATATTCTGTTTCTTCACCTCTTTGTTAGGTAAAAATACGATTTTTGTACTAAAGCCCACTGTGTTGTCATGGAAAATTGGAAAGACACAAAACAGGAAATTGATCAAAAAGCCCACTCATTCTTTTATAGTTCAATAGGAGAAAAATCATCCCAAGATGATCTTGGCTTGATTGCTGTTTTGAGGTTTAAATAAATGACTGAATAATCTCAAGTGAGAACAACGCATTTCTAAAAAACACTTAATTGGTTCCTTTATAATCTTCAGAAGATGTTAACTATTCAAGTGAGTTGATTTTCTTCCTCCTAGCAGTGTTCCCTCCCACAAAGGCATAAAATAAACAGATGTGGAAAACTTCAAATCACTTCTACCTACACTATTCCTGTTTGGTAATTACACAGAAAGCTTTACATTCCCAGGATCATCACTCTGATCCTTTCCATCCTTCCCCTGACACCCCACCCCCTTTTTTTAAAATAGAACTAGATTACTAGAGGGACCAGAGAGGACTCTGTCTATGGACAGCTGGCAAAAGCCTACTTGTTTTGATGCCATTCGGCACCATTCACCTAACCAACCATTGAATCATCTCCACAACGTGGTGGATGGCAGCTGGGCTGGCCCTGAATGAATGGGCCTGTGGCAGACTTCATTCTCATGGTCAGTTATCTCTGTTCTTAATGCTCCCTTAAGGCTGTTGGCAGGCAGCTGGTTAAAACAGCAGGGGCTGCACTGTATCAGCTGCCCCAAATGGAGATGCTCCAACACAGAATGAGTTTTGAATAAACTCAGCTTTGCTGGTATGAAAGGTCTGGTCCAATGGAGCAAGCTGCCTGCTATGGAATTTATTTATTCTGCTAATGCAGATTCTCTTATCTGCAGTTATCAGCAAAGCCAGAGTACTGCAGGACCAACTCGAGTGAGTACTACAAACTGTACATGGGTGTGTGTGTGAAATCTATTCTACACATTTTCAAGTATTGACTGTAACTTCTAAATTATTTGATGCAGAAAACAATGACTAAAAACATATTCATACATTTTGTATACTATGTTAATATTTGTTCTTATAAAACTACATGAAATTAAAACAAAGCTGAGTTTCAATTTTCCTCACAAAAACAACTGAAATATAAAAATGCAGTACAAATGACATTTCTAGAACAATGTTATAAAACAACCAAATTAAACTGGACAGCATGTGTTTCATAAAATTTTAACCCTTCCAATGCATAAGCAGTGAACCATAGCAGCACTGTAATTTTTATCTGATTAAATCAAAAGAAATTACCTGAATGTTTTACAAGTTTTTGTGCTCGAACCTCTCCAATTGAATTATTTTCATAGCACTTCTGATTAGCTAGGGAATGCGCAAAGCTCACAAATTTCTCAGATTTGGTATAAATCACAAGGTCTGACAATGCAATGGCAATTTTTATCTTCTTCATCTAATAACAAAATATAAAATAATGGAAAAATAAAAAATCACAATAACACATATTTCATTATTATTATTAACAATTCAGAAGAAACTATCATTTCAGATGCATCAAGCATGGGAAAATGTCTCACAATTAATGAATATTTGAGCTTAAGATATGACTTTTGATAGCGAGAGGTCTTCCAGTTAGAGACAATTAAGGTTATTGTCTCTATGTTCATTACAGTAATTGTAGGGTGAATGGAGAGAAGTTTCCAACACTTCCTAGCACAGTGTTCTCTTGGACAGCTTCATCATTTCCCTGCATCTGAGTCTGGTATGCAAAATAACATAATTTCTCATGACTCTTAACATTACTCATTTAAAATACATGTCCAACTTTATATTCCTAAAGTACTAGAAAAGGTATACTGGTAGGAGTACTTGGAGGGAAGGGAAAAAAAAAAAAAAGCAGAAGAGCAGCAGAATCTATACATCAATAGCACAAACTTAACCACAAAATGTATAATAAATAACAGGAGAATATTTTACCATGCCAAGCAAATCAATCAAGCAAATCCTGCAAGCGTTGCTCTGAAGTTAGAAAAACTCTGTTCTTCTTAATTAAGATGGAAAGTTCTTTGAACAAGGTCTTTGTTTAGTCTTGTTCCATTACCAAAGCAAGCAAAAGCAAAGGTTGCTGTACATTGAAGCAACTGAAATTTTACCAGGGTCTTATCTTTTATACTGAGGTACTATGTGATCTCTGCATTTTACTTAGCATGAACTTGTGAGCTAATCAGTGGTAGTAGCCAGCAAAGAGCTGATGGTACTAATAATGTTTACATTCCATTAAAGCTTCTGCATGCAAATTCTCTTCTGACAAAATAATAGGGATTGCCTGCTCATGGCTCTTAAACTACTCAAAGTTCAAGTGCATTAATTATTCTGGGGCTATGTCACATGAGGAGCCATAGGAGTGTAACTGGCACAGAATTCCTGAGTAATACAGCTCTCCGGATGTGGAAGGCAGTGAGGCAGCCAAAGCCAACAGCATCACTAGGGTATCTTGGGTGCGGATTTCAATGCTCTCCCACCCTACCATAGAGCAATAGAGTGGGACCTCAGAATAAATACTCTCACTCCAATAGAGTGGGAGCCCAGAAACCATTTTCTCTTGTGCCTGTGAAACATGATCAGACATCTGTTGATTAAGATGTGGTATATTTTCTGGTCTGTAATATGATGTCACTAACATATGTGACCCTATTATCTGGAAATTTGGCCTTCCCTGTTCAAAGAGAACTCCATCCTTCCTCAGAATTTTTCCTTAATATCTCTCTATATTAGATGGAAAAAAAAAGAAGCAAAGATCTTGACCTTCAAATCACTTAGAGAAAAGAAACACAGAGAAAGAGACACTGCCTTTCAGCAAAAGCACTGAGCCCTGAGGAGCATTGCCAGTCTATCCGCATTCAGATAATCAGAGCATGATGTGCAAAGTGACTGGATACTGGGTGCTTCCTGCCGGCCGAAAAAACTTGAACAAAGCAGTTTTAACCCTGATGGAGCAACAGATTTCCATGACAGAGAATTACTGTTTGGTTAAAAAAATGAGTAAGTTCAATTCAACTATTAAAAAGAAGATTACATCCAATTTTTACACTCTCTTTCAGAAATAATATTTAATGTTAAGTCTCTACATGATAAATGTAAAAATACCTTTTCTATTATAAGTGCTTAGAAATGTTTTAGTGCAACCAGAACTCTACACCTAATGTCATGCATAAATCCAGAATGGAAGAAAATAAGGGAATGGGAACTCTTCAAAATTTCCTTCATAGACTGGTAGGCTGAGGGAAGAAATAGTTAACTCTGTCCTTCATCATCAGGAACTGCTATGAGTGTTTTCTACGCATAGCTCCAGGAGGGTCTTGAGACCAACAAAGCAGTTGGGCAACTTTATCTTAGATCTATTGTAGACCTGGGACAAGCACAAGACCTGGAAGTGAAAAATGCAGGGGGAGTTTAGGATGGGAGCACAGGGAAGTTTGCTTTTCAGTTGGATACTAAAATATGCTCCAGTTTGGAGTGTCTTGTAAGAATCAGGAAAACTCTGAAACCTTGAGTTAAAAAGTATTATTTCAAAATATATTACCTCTAAGTAACTTTAAAGCCTATCTTTTAAGTTTAGTCCCTATCTTAAGCGAATATATTACTTCTTTAAAAAAAAAAAAAAAAAAAAAAAAAAGTTGGCATACATCTATGTGTTTTCTAAATTGAATTGAGACAAAAGTTACCTTTGCCTTTTTTCGAGGTGGAGATGAAGGTTTCTGGTCACTTTTTCTCTTTGAGGAATCACTCTTTGGGTACAGAGGGGCTTTTGCATCAGTCTCATCTTCATCAGACATATTTTCGAAGTCAGAAATTTCCTCTGTCTCACCATGCCTGTCAAGATGTCTCCTGAGCATACCTTCCTCAATTGTTCCAACTTTTTTATTTTTTATCAGAATTTTGAATTTTAATGCCTGTAAAAAAGAGAATAAACAGTAGTGACTAGAATTATGTAAGGACTAATTGTAGGTTTTCGTATCTACGTATTGTTTAACCCATGTTCAAAGCTGTTTGTTAGGTATAATGAAGGTAACACAATGAAGTGAAGATAGATGTTGGTGAGGCAGAAGTCAAAAGCAACTAAAACAAACAGAATCTGGGGATCAAAGTACACATCAGAATGTGAATATCTAACCCCATGACAGGAATAAAGGCTCTCCACCATACAGATCCACAGATGTTGAAAGTGTGAGCAAGACTAAGGTAGGAAGTTAAGTAAGTGTCAGAGGTTATGGCCAGGTAAGACAGAGGAGGTATATTTTTTTACTATGTATGAATCCATTTTTATATATGGACTTGTAGACATGTATCTGATATTAATTTGATTTTTTTTTAATCATTGCAGCTGCTGGAAATTTGTTACCCCATTTGATTAGTCCATTTGTACACATCTGTCTAGCATATCACATGAAAACTTTTGTCATTATATCATTAGATAGTGGATCCTTATGCTGATCTTACTTGGCCAGGGAAATTATCAGAGTTTGGTAATTGGTTGCTTGAGCAATTTCTTTCTTTTTAAGTGAGCATGTTTACAATTCCATAATAAAGAATGTAGGAAAAAAAATTGCACTAGTGAAAAGAAAGGTTATACTGCTGGGAAGGTTACAGAAAGAAGGAACAAATACTTACATATTAAATAAAAGATAACTAAAACATTGTGGTTTAAGATATCCATTAAGTAAATATGAAAAGCATGGATGATAGAAACATATATAAAAACCCAAAGCTTTATAATAGAAACTAAAGCCATAGACAAAGAAATAGACATTCCATTTATTTACATTGCAATCTCTGTTGCTGGTAATCCCCTTATTGCTTCAGATCTTGTATAAGTAGTTTGTAAGTGTGCCAGTGGAATGAGATATCCCATGCTTAATATCTGTCAATGCCATGCTAGTGTAAGATTTGATTAGTGTCTCTGCACTGGTGAATCAGAATAAGGATGCACTTTAACATTTCCTTCATTTCTTATTGATGCACTCATTTTTTCTCTGTGATAATTTTAGAAGAGCTTTAATATGAGTAATGCTACTCATATTTTAAAGAGTTCTGAATTTTCCTTTGCATATTCATATTTCCCAATATTTAAAAGCAATTCTATCCACTTTTGGTCTTGTATTTTTTTATTCATAGGTAAGATTTAATTTTACAAATTAAAAAAAAAAAACCCAAACAACAAACTGTTATACAAGGGAAGGAAAAATTTTTTATGGATGTATTACTGTCTCATATATGTAAACTTGCTTTAAGTAAAAAAAGACCATAGTCTCTGACATGATCTAAAAATGGGCCATGATGTTTTGAGTCAGATATAGTTTCTAAAATTCTGTTTATGAACTGTTAGCAAAGATATAAATATACTGAGGTAGAACAGCTACGTTTCTTTTTCTTTTCTTTTTTTTCTTTCTTATAAAGATAACATTTTAAAATCACAGCTCTCTTTTCAAAAACAGTTACAGAAAATACTCTAGCAAGAAGAAATTTTGCTATTTTTTGGCCAGAAGAAGAATCCAATAATAGTTAACCTAAATCACTGAAAGTGAACCATGAACTGAAAAAGACATACGATGGATTTTAAGGCTAGGCTTGAAACAGATCTTCAAAAAAACTTATGACAAATGTATGGTTAAAAAATCAGTGACTATGTGAAATTTGAGTTCTTTAACTGGTAATCAGCAGCGCTAAACATGCAGCATCTTTTTTTACAAATGTCTAAATCCTTTAGGCAGATAATGAGCTGAAAGTCTGAATGTTCACTATAACCTCTCTTTTCTATTTTAAATATAAAATACAAAATATTTTTAAAAATACGTGTACTTATATATAAGCTTTAACCATATTAAAAATTTAAATATGTAAAATAGAATAGATCTTCCATAGAGCATAATGGGACTTCAAGGCTGGCATAAGCAAAAGTCTCCAAGTACAATCAATTGGAACAAATATTTAAATAATTAAACGAACAAAACTTAGTTATTGTACTAAATAGGCATTCTGGTTAATGTGATGTACACTACAAATCGGAACAGCTGAAGTAATACAAGACTCTAAGACAAAATCACAAGTACTTTGGAATGGATCAGGCAAACCCATCTACTGACCACTGCAATTAATGTAAAAATCAAGGGACAAAAGTCAGTCTTCAGAAATGTAGAGAACAAACCCTGGATTTGGGTCATGAGTATTAAAAAGAGAAGAATAGTTTCCCCTACTTAAATTGAGCATGTTCTTCTCTCTTCTCTCCTGACTAGATGTAGGTGCTTAGAATATCAAATCCTGAAAATCTTGCTAAGTATCAAGGTTAAAATGAGTTTAAATTTTTACATAATTTTCTATTTCAAGAATTATATTACTGTCTTAAATACTGATATAAAGATGCAACACCTTCCGTGAAGTCTAATATGGGGGAAACTTTTGAGGCATAGACAAACTTTATCTTGAATGAAAATAAAGGACACTATTAAGCACAACTGTTAAAAAACCTCTAACACCAGCATTCTTCTATGATTCAAGAAGAGAATCACACTTAGTGAAAGTGTGAATAGATTTCTTTGTGGCAGCCTTATAAATCACAGTTATTGAGATATTTCAAATCAATACTACCAGTAATGTCTGAGCTCTAGTTAAATGGATATTAATTGTATCATCAGGAGCACCTTTTTAGCTCATAACAAGCTTTCATATGATACAGTTATCTAGTGAGAAGTTCCCCACGTTGAAAACTCCAGTTCCATGTTGTGCTCGTAGTAAACACAAAATACATGAGACAATCTTTCTAATTGTCCTCTTATTAAAAATACAAAAAAGCAAAAAATGCCTAAAGAAGGAAATTGGGAGGGGTGACATAGGCAGACTAATCTTCTGGATGAAGTGAAAACCTGACACAAACTTGGGTAAAAATGTATGTGTTCTAAGAACCACTCTGTCCTTAAAAACAATTTTACAAGGTATTATTTCTAATTCATCTACCAGAAAGAGTCCCACTCAGGAACCAAACTTCAAAGATAGAGAGAAGATCAATTTGCTAATGGCTCAGAGGCTTGACCTATTATAACTGTTGGCAGTAAGGTTAGATCCCATTGACAAACAGGACCTTTATCTGGCACTGTCTTGTCCAGTTTTACCTGAGGACTCCATCAGATGTAAGAGAAATATGAAAACACACATAAACTTTCCCAATCATGCAATCAAAAAGACATCAGACAGTGGTCTTGGAGAAAGTTCTAGTGCAGATGATTTTGCATTATTTGAAAGGCAAAACAGTGAACTGAAAATGTTTTTGACTTGCTAAGAAGCAAAGATATTTCTGATGCAAAGACTTGGTCAAGACATTTGCATATGTGACTTGTAGGTCAAAAAAAAAAAAAGAATGAATCTCATCGCTGAAGCACCAGAATTAGATGTGCTAAAGTAGTCTTGATCTTGAATTTCTGAGTGAAAACCTTCATGTTCTACTTTTTCACTAACAAGAAAATAAGACTATAAAACCCTAAAAAGATATGGAGAGGAAAGTTTGGGGATGGTTATACTGAAAATTGAATCATAGCCACAGGTTAATCAGACTGTTACCCTTTTGTCAGACGTTACAAACAGTCAGTAAGAACCTATTTGTCAGAGATCATAGTCAGCCAGGTACAACCAAGTTTTGAAAGTTTATCAGTGAGACAGGTTTTTACAGAGAAAGGCAAAAAAGTGCAGTAGCAATATGAGACTCTTAGACATACACTCAAATGTTATATCTAGACTTCAAAGACATACTTGGTTGACCCAGACTGGTACATTCTGGGAAAACAGTGAATATTCTTGGAAAAAAGTGAATGCATATGGAAAGCTCCTTTGTATGTTGAGTAGATACAGGTGAAGAAAAAGGTAAAGGAGCAGTCCTGGCTATAGGGTCTGTTTTTTTTCTCCCCTAAGATTAGGATTTAAATGCCCAGAGAGTATAAAGTTGTACTGGAGACTTTCTATGAATCTTTCTCAAGGTTCTTTTATTTAGATCGCATGGCTTTAATAACTGTGGGGAAACCTTGGAGATCATGGCCAGAAATGCTTCTGAACCACCACAACATTGTAATTGATCTTGCAGCTGTGTGGTAAACATTAAAGATGACTTGTAAAATAACAATAGTTGCCATTTCACTTTCAGTTAACAATGCATCAATCACTTTTCAATTTTGTGATAGGAAACTTGCAAGTAATAAAAAATTCCCAAGTAGTTCATGTATATATCATGACAGCAGTGTAAGGCAGTTTGATGTACTACAATGCAAAATAATTGAGGAACAAACCTTCATCAAAAGCCTCAATGCATTTACATTCATTTTTCTGTGTTACATTTGAGGCTTACTTGTTTCTTTCAGTAGCTGTCAAACTCATTAGAGAGGAAGGATTCAGCAGGGTAAGAAAAAAATTATCTTCTAGGATTCTAATATTTTCTAAGTTCATCTACAAATTGCTGCACAAAACACCACATTCTGTCATTTTATATCAGCATAATCCAGGAGTGCTGGTGCAATCACCAGAGGTCTCTGGTCCCAGTCAGTGATGCCAAATATAATTTAATGTGGGAAATTACTCAAAGGACCTAATATTATAGTGAATATTAAAGTTAATGAAATCTCTTTAGAAGCATTGTAGTGGCCAAGACTGCAAGGAGAGGATTGTAGTGGGTCTGCTGCTTTGGGTGACAAAATATCTACATGGGAAAGCAGTAAGAGGATAGATATGGCAGATGAGATCAGTCAAGCTCAAGGGTGGCCTCAGTTTATCTCAGTGGGTAAGGGGTGTGTGAAAGAATGAAACAGTGCAAAAGCCTTCTCTTTCCTCTACTCCACACTGTAGAGGAAGAATTGTCTGTTGAGATGCTATAGAATATAGTAATATTCCAGGGAATTAGCAGTACTAGTATAATCAGCTGCAGGGTGTACATATGACTGAGGCCAAAGAATTAAAAAACCTCTTTTCCTGAAATTTTCTGGGTTTTGTGTTTCAGGGCAAGCAGGTGTTGAGAAAAGGCAGACAACAATAGCTTTCAGTGACCATCCAATTTTCTTTTCTGGACCTCCTTGTGATTTTCACTTAGATTTACAATGGTAGGAGACATCATGCATGAGCTGTGGTCCAAGGAAGCACCTAAGACTGAGTTTGCTCTGCATTTTAATCCTTCTTCCAGACACACACAATCATTTCTGCCGACAAAGATGTAGCTCAAAACCTTCTTAGAAGGGGAAGTAGGAGAGATTAGACAACAGAGGAGAAAAAAATTTCCATGGAGATCTCCAGACCTCCAAGATCTAAATATGACCCTGTAATTGGCAAATGTTTCTATGAAGTGTTTGGAGAAATTATGTGGTAATCCACTTCATGCACAGACGAGGGCACCATTTTATTTGGATCTTGAAGGATATTGAGAAATGGGTATTAAAAGAAGTCCTTGCATGAGCTGCACATACCCCTTCATTGGAGGATCAAAACTAGGAACAACAGTAGCTGTCAGATGAGGAAGATTTCCCACCTAAGAAACATAATGTTTGAGTCTCATGTGACAGGAAGAAGCTGCATGTTGAAGGTCCTTGCCAAAGAAATCTGAGAGAAAAGGGAAGGAGGGTTAAACTGGTTAGTCCAAAGCCAAATCTTTGATGGATCCTACAAGCAAGTTGTTAAAAAAGCCTAGCAAAGGCCGCAACAGCAACAGGTCGTGAACACAAGAGGCGACAACTTGTTGTGACACAGACAATCAAAGGACTTGAGGGACAGAAGTACGCCCATTGCATTTATAGGCATGTGAGGCGCATGTGGAAGTAAAGAGGTTTGTGCTGTGTACCTAGGAATATTATTAGATTGGAATATTCTCTAACAGAGCATATTATTAAAAAAAGTGTCTGTGGTTATTGTTAATTTCAATGAAGAGTGAAAGACACACTACCTTTTCAATCCCTCCCATCCCTTGCTAAGATCCAACCAGAAGGGAGGAGGGTGAAGCTCAAAGTAGGTGAAGATGACAAAAGAAGGTAAACAAGATTGTAGGGGAAATGGAGGTAAAGTATTGTAACTGTAATCAAAATACCTTAATTTTCAAACTCAGAGTAATTCAATTCATGTGTGTGTATATATATATACACACATACACACACATACTAAAGTGATTTGAAGTATATTCACCTTAATACTGAGCTACTTTAGAGTGACATTCATACTCATTTATAATCAAGTTAAGTAAAAATTTTAGCATATAAGCAATTCACCACCTATTTTTATTTTGCTTTAATATAAAATAGGGTAACAGTCTAAAAAAAGAAGCAAAACTGAAGAAATAATATTAAATTAATATTTAGAGCAGACTTTAAAAGCATATCCTATAAAAAATGCTAAGGAAAAAGCTGATAAATCTAGGTGAAAGGAATGTATGTTGGCCACAGAACATGCTGAACAGAACACTGCAAAGAAAACTTAAGACCTGTTAGCAAGCTAAATTAAAGTGTATAACAATTTCTTTTAAAAAAAATGTTGCTTTTTGCTATATTTTCTATTTCTTCTTATTTTAATATTCAATGAAGGATACAGGTTCACATATAAATACAGATGAGTTACACAGGAAAATTTAAAAAGAGGAAACTGATTTCAAAGCTTTCCATTTTTGTTGCATATGAATATAATATATGCCGTTATCTGATAATTTTGCTAGTAAAATTACTCGTGTAGGCAGGTGCACCAATTCCCCTGAGTGCATTATTCATAGTAATTCTTTTTTGAAGTGAGTTATCAGACTATCAGTTGTATCAGCCTCTAAGCAAGCAAATTTCCTGCTCTTGGGCCATGCCAATCAATGAACACTTACCATTCTGTTGAACCAATCTCATATCTGAGCAATTACAATGAACTTTAATCTTGCTCACACTATATTTTATTAGAGTTATATTAGAAGACTGTCATGTTTAAAGAACAACACCTTTACTCTGTTACTGGTGTTATATAACGCTTCTGATATACAATTTTATTCCTGGGATGATTTTACCAGTTGAATTCCTATAGAATCATACCAGATGCAATAGTTTCCTCCCTATTCTTGCTAGTGCTCCATCTTGAAAAAAGTGGAACAGTAAATGATATAGGTGACAAATATATATATATTACTTTTTTTACACTAACTGAGAATCCTTCTCACAAACAGCATTTTAAATTCATCATTTATGGTTCTGTAACATCTCTTTTGCACTGTTTAATTAAAGCAGGCTTAAGACTAAGTTCAGCATCTGGCTCACTCAAATGATAATGAATTTATTCAGGACTTGAATACGCACAAGGTTCCAAGCTTTAAGAATGTGATGCCACTAAACACCTTTTGAATATGCACCAAAAGTGATTCTTCAAAAAGATGCTAGCCAAAAGTCAACCTTCCTACTCTATTTGCAAATTCAGTCATAACTACATGTTTCCATTGCAAAATAAAATCCTAATGATTTTTCTTAAGTGCTTGATCAGAGCAGCTAAGAGAAATGGAGATGATTGTAAACTTTGTTCATTCTCAACATAATGATTTATTAAATTCAGACTTTTGTAAATCAGCTGAGGACAGTCGTATTATTTAAGTAACTCTTACATCTTACATAGATGTGGAATGCATCTCACATAACTTTAAAAGAGTAAAAGTTCAATAGAATGAATCTCACCTGAACAGTATACATTTAAGTGAGGAATAAGTATAGAAACCAGCAAAACATTTTCAGGCAAAAATTCTATAGAGCTGACTTATGAAAACACCAAGCCATGGAAATATGAAGTAGGAATTCCCTATATCGCAGTAAATATATGTTAAGGGACATATCTCACAGAAAGTAATATTTTGAAGTATGTGATTCAGTGACTCCAGGATTTAGATGCAGTACACTGATTTTGTGTTTGCTACAGAGGACATACGATCCTTGGACATCTGTTAGACTGAATGCAGCTATGCTCTGAGAAGCTTTAAAACAAACCTTCATGTTTAATACAGCTTATATTTTTTTTCTAATTTACAGAACATTTTTTAAGGTTGCAAAGTGATCAGGTTTGTAACTGATAAGGTTACAGTGTGATACAAAAAATATAATGTTATAATCTAAAAAACCATGATGGCTTACTGAAAAATTTATTAAGATATATTAAATGTATTTACGACAACATTGCTATGTAAATGTAACAGTATGCTAATACTTTAGCAAGTCTTTTGGACACACCACTTCAAAAATGTTTTTTTCCATAACAAATCCTTTACAAAAATACATTTCTCTGTGTATTGTCTTCCCTTATGACAGTGTTTCCTCCTCACATTTTCATTTGCATTGTTCCTTTTTCAATTACTGTAAAAAAAAAAGGTATAAAATATATCTGTTCTATCACTGATAACAGTGACAAGCCTAAATAACTATTTTGTATGTATGCATGTATTTGTGTTACAAGAGATTAAAAAAAAATCTTTTGTCCTTGAAAGAAAATTAAGTGCAAAGACTGGAACAATTGGAATTTATTTGTTTTAGTTTGCAATAAAATTTTCAACACCCATCTAATTGCCTTTTCTGACTGCATATCCCAGGGGTCTCAAGCCACCAGCTGAGAAACACTGCCTTAGGGAGAAACACGCTGAGAAAGTGACAATGTTTTTGCAGTAACAGAATTCGATGAAATAGCTCTATCAACGTGGTTATTGACAAAAAAGTAGATTCAGGTTTTCTTTTCAATAGCTTGTTTAAATTTAAGAAAATTCTTTCAATCTAAGGAACAAAAAATAAATAAGCAGAAAACAGATGCACTAACATGTTTAAAGTGAAGATTTTTAAATTTTGGTTCAAAGCATAATGTTGTTTAGAAACTTATTCATTGCCTTGTCTTTTAAAACTAAAACACTGGAAGTCTCATTTCAGAGAAAAGGAAGAGGGAGAGGGAGAGGATAGTTCAGTTTAACCTCAAAATGTTGACTTTACAGGTCAACAGAAACGTCGAAGCTGTTCTTTATAACATAATGTTTCCATAACTTGAAAATTCCAAAATTAAATTAATCAGGTGTTTGCATAGCTCTCAGATTCAGAGTTCAGATCAGTAGTACTTATTTCTACAATCTTTGGCAAGTCATTCCCTGTATATTAATCTGCCCTCTTTAAAGGCAGATGCTCTCTTCTGTGTTTAGATTACCACATCTCCAACATAGGACTACTGTAGATGAATCACTCTATAATAACGTAATTCATATTAAGTAATAGTCTACTTTAAAAAAATCAGAGTAATTTCAGTGTCACTACTCAGTTTTTGATAGGCAGGTTTATTCATTGTTAGTAAGTGTGGTTCAAAATAACAAGACACATTACTATAGCTGCCTTGTTTCCATATAAAATAAACTGCAATACACAAACTTTACCTAACTGTATTTGTAAACAAAACAAAACAAAACAAAATGCTTAATGCATCCAAAGCACCAGAAGTTGGACTGATGTGAACTGCAAGATATAAGGCTTTGAAAAAACATTAGTATATTAGCTTTTAATAAAGACATGCTTCAGCATTGTACTGAGAACAGTTTTCCATTAAAAAAAACCCCTTCCATATCAATCCATATGATTAAATTTTGCTTTTTCTGTTTTCTTTATCTTTTCATGTGGGTCTTTTGTGTTGTTTAATTATTTTTTTTTACCACCTGAAGTCTATTTCAGACATCAGATGAGCAGTTTCATAAATTCAGTTTCAGAAGATTCAAAAAAAACCCAAAACCAAAACCAGGGCTTTTTCCCTATCTTTTGCAGAGAAAAATGAAATGTTATTACCTCAGGAGAAGGTAGTTGAGTGAACTCTGTATCATCAATTGCTGAAGTAATAAGTTTGTCACCAAGAATACTTTCTAAATAGTCTGCCATTACTTCCTGTTGCTTACAGCTGCAGTGGTTCTCCAAAGACAGTACAATGGGATAGTCAGATGCCTGGAAATATAATTTAAAGGCTTTTATTAATAAATTAATA